ATACCGTTGGAATAGATACTATAAAACAGGGGACTCGAAATTGATCCCTGAGGGTCGCCACGTGCGATAAGTTTCACATTAGAGCTTTTGTTGTTAACGCGTAAAAAGCGCTGTGACTGTTTCAAAATAGATGAGTAATAAAGTTTTATCATAACTTTCAATTCCATTACCATCTCAGCCTACAGCTTTGGGCGAAATTTGGCTGATTATTCCGTTTTTGATTATCGGGAAAGGCTCCATTAATTGTTTATGCATAAAGGTAATTTAAAAAAACTTATCTTCAGTGAATCAACGGAGCAAGTATTGTTGAAAGTGAAATTGTTCGGGAAACCTATAGGTTTGTAAATGTAATAAATACTATTTTCTTTTCACGATTGTGTGCCATGTGAGTTGTGACCACCTAGTCAGCTTATTGTGACATTGAGGCTGCGACTTTTTTGGTCTTACCTATTTGTTTGGATACGTTATAAAAATCGATAATGTCGTTTATCACGGAACGATTGGTTCACTTGTTATTAATCCTGTCAATTATACAATGATTAAATTTACCATTTCGGAGAGTTCATAGGATGATTACGTCCGGAATGTGTGTTTTTTTAATATAGGCTAAACAGTTACGCAACATTTACCTCAAAATTTTGATATCGTTATAACGAGGCCTACAATTATGGAAACCGCTAATTTCCCCAACCATTAGCAGGAATAATGTAATTGACAGTTTGCGGTATCACTTGTACATTTACCTTCTATACGATTCACATCAGTGTTTAAATACGGCTCCATAAATATTCAAGGATACGAACGCCTTCCTGTACCTACACAACGTTTTATTACGTTGTTCTTTAACAGTTTTGTTAATTCATGCGGTTTGTTCCACCAAAAATGTTCACAATATTCATCCCTGTTTTACGCAAATAGTAGGCAGCACTTGCAGTAATTCTTAATTAGTTTAAATATTCATGAGAACAATAAAGGATATGCCTTGGAAGTTGTAGGAGAAGTTTCTTAGAATAGATTAAAACTTTGAATACTTCTCACTAATTTTTAGTAGACACTTGCTGAAAATCTAAACTGTATTAGGTAAAATGATGGGGTCGTATACGTTGAATCAAACGCGTTAGTTAAGATTTGCTTCCCCAATAAAATCGAATGTTCCATAAAGGCGGCCTCTTACGAACCGTTAACTTTATTTCCTGAATACCGCCGTAAAGCGGCATTAGGATATTCACCGTGGTGTTATAATGAACAATACATTTTGTAAAATGACATCGAATTTTGCATTATATTGCCCCTTTGCCTCTTAAATTGTACTGTGTATTATATAACAAACTAATATCTCAAATTTTGTGAAAGCGCTTCTCTCATCCAAATTTAGTTTAAATTTGTAACGTTATTATCCTTCTCTTGGTGTTTATGTTCAACAGGAGTGTGCTGGGTATCTGAATTGCAAACATTTTTATCACCCTTGTCGAAAATATACGTAGAACACATTATACCTTTCCATTTATTGTGAGGTAGATTTCATCTTCAGTTCGCCATTAAATGAATACATCATTAGCTACCGACTGTGCAGGCAATGAAACATTTAAAAGCAGCAACGTTAATTAATTTCATGTATGGAACCACAAAGAAAGGAAATATCATCACCACTCTCACAGAAAGTTTCCGTGATTATTGACTACCTTTCCCCTTTCAAAACTGCGGGGTCGATACCTCAATTTAAACGTTTTTTTTAGTATATACCTAGACAATGGTTAGTGCAAAACCGAACTTCACTACGATTGGGGAGACGGAAGGGAGGGGCGAGGAGGAAGAATAGGGAACACAGGGGTGACATACATAATTTTTCCCAAAACCAGCACCCGCGGACCGTCCCAATTTCTCGTCATTTAATGAGCAAAGTATTGAATGAAAATCGCTAATATAACTGATAAACATTACAAACAAATAGTAAGCAAATTAGCAAAAGCGCTGATGAACGGTAAATAAATACCTGATTTTCACCCTTGGTGTCTTAGTTGACCAATCCTCTTTGCCATGAACCTTATACGAATACGAAATACGATGCACAGTAAAAAATATGTTGTCAAATTAGCACTAAAATGTTGTTCCCACAGGTCCACCACTAGTTTGTGCTAAGTTAGCGACATTACGTATAGCAAATAAAGGCGATTTAATATTTAACAAATGTAGCGAGAACTAGTTTTCACATTTGAAACCCAAGGATGTTAATCCAACGAATAAGAGGTGTAAAAGAGAGCGAATATTTAATGTCAAATCTCACTTCCCGAGAACATTTAAAACCAACTTTGTTTGTCAATTTTGGCCAATAAAATTCACAAAGTTTCAGTTTACCTGTGGCTGATTACATGAATAATTTATGTTAAGTTTCTCGTAGTGAAGTAGCATATTGCCACGGTAATGTATCTGATATGCCAATATTTATTTGCCAATATTGACAACATTTCAATGCCACTTTGCCACAACCTAATTGCAAATTTACGTTATTATATGGTAAAATTAAATCTCAAAATTTGTAACTTTAACAACTTAAAAGTGTTTAAAATAACCAAGATTACGTTTGTTAATTTCACAAAATCTTATTGAAAATAAAATACATACATATTTTTTAAGATATTTTTATTAATTTAAACTAAGTACCTCCAAGACAACATACTATATTTAAAAAATACAAAAATATTAAAAAAACAAAATATTCAAGACACTATTTTGAATTTTGGTACAATTAAGTTGGTTTGTTTATTATAAGGTTTATGTATCTCGTATGACACAAAATGAAGCAAATTTCTTATATCTAAAATGTTGATTACAATATCATCCGTTTTCTGAATTTCCCACGCATTATACAAACTATTGAATTTACAAGTCTTCCAAGGCTTGCAAATTAGATAAGGAATGTCCTTAAAAACTATTATTTCCAAAATTTGGCAAAACATAGAACAGTAAGTGTTAAAAACGTCTACTACAAACATTGTTTTTTGAAAATTATTGCCTGAAACCTTGACTGAATTCGTTATAGTAAAATCAAAGTTAATTGGTACTTTAAAAAACGCATTTACAGCTTCCTGAAATTGTTGACCATTTAGATTAGTTCTAAAACATTTTCCAAATGTAAAATTTAAAGAAGTTAAATTTATAGTTTTCCAATTATGCCACATATATTCTTGGTGCCTTAATGCTAACGTCTTACATAATGATTTAAAATTCTTAAAACTGTGTATTAGATTTTTGAAGTACCCGTGTTTTGCCTCAAACCGTATTGTATTTAAAAAAACAAGAGGACCCATTTTCAGTATTACATTTGGATAATGCAACATCATATGATGTTTCGGAATCAAATTGATTTTAAATTCGGATATAAATAATTCATGGTGCTGTTTAATTAAACATCTTAAACTCTCAATCATTTCAGTTGTATTCGTTGGACAAAACACTATGTTAATGATCTGAAGCAACAATTGAAGAATTTTACATTTATTTTTGTCTAGTGGCAATTCGTCGCATAAAATTAGTGGCAGGTATCTTATTAAACACATTGTTTGCGCTGCTCTTTGACCAATATTATTAGATGGTTTTTCAAGACATATTGGACTTGGTTTGTTACAAGATTCATTAATGCCAAAATTAAACGACTTAATGCGTTCATTTATGGTCTCCAATGTTATAAACTTCTGGACAATTAAAGACTTTAAAACTAACTTTATCTCAAGCTGAACAACACCTTCGAGTAAATCATGCATACAATCTACAGATATATTATTTGATATTTTGAAATGATTTAAATCGTTTAAAATGCTTCTATGTTTTATTCCGAACACGGAGACTTCATTGTTATCACGAAGTGACTCGCAATGTTGCTCATAACTTATATCACTTCGTAATAGTTCTTGATTTTCTGCAGTCAATCGGTGACATAAATGTTTATCTGCAAGGCATATCCTACAATAATATTGGGCTGAAAAGGACTCTACCATGCCATGCAGTTGGTTAGCCCCTAGATTGTCATGACTCAAAGCAACTAAAGTACCCTTTATGAAATTATCTGTTATATGGTCCTTGACGCCTATAGTTTCCAAAATTTTTAGGTCCCTCAATAAAACTTCCAAAATAGAGTTCATACCAAATTTTTTACCATCATTACTATAAAAAAGACCAGCTAAATGAATGTTTCGTAAAGAAGAATTACAATGAGAAGGAATGTTTCTTATTATAAAATACACACCACCGATCTTATGGCCACCAGTTTTGGAACCTAATGGGTTGACACTCAAATTCGTCAAAGTACAACTGTATTTGAAATGCATTCGAATTTTCAGAAAAAAAAGTAGAATTTTTGTATATGCTACCGTCTGAAAAAGACATATACATCTCGCTGGGTTTAGAAGTCTTTTGAAAAAAAAGATTCTCTGAAAGAATCGTTGCTCAATAAATGTTGCAATGTTTTCAAAATAGGAATGTAGACAAAATTACATGGAATAGGTATTTGCATATAGATTCTATTATCTTTGTCCCAAACTTGATCATATCTAGTACCAATCTTAATGTCAACCGGCTCCACTATTCGTTCTCTAAAATATTTCTCCCTTTTGTACTTTGTATTGAAATTTGCAAACACGTTTGGAAATTGATTTCTGTCTATCGAACTATTTGAAAGAACGGTAAGAAACCCTTGGGTATGTTCAATAATACTTTGGATACTAGAATCTGGTAATCCTAAAGCATACAAACTATTAATAAATTCTGCAGAATAATCATTTAGGGACTGTATGTGATCATGATCAGTGACATTAGTTTCATTAGGCAGAGTAATTAGATTCGTTGTTTTGGGCATTACAATCATTATCCACGACATTATCATTGTTATCGATAGAAGGCAATACACCCTGCTCCTTTACATTTTTATCTAAGACACAGTTTTGAATATGTTTTCGGTATCCACTAAATGTACGATAAATATTTTGACAAAATACATTAAAGCAACGTAATTCCAATGTTTCGCCATCATATAAGGCATGTTGTTGTCTTAAATGTCTAACTAGAACCGTAACATTTAGAAAAGATTTTGAGCATATATAACAAAGAAACATTTTTATATAAACATAAGTAGAAGCACTATTCTTTTCGTACTAAATTCAAAATTTTGGTTCTCAATTCCCTCGTTCTACTACAAATTGAATTCGTTTCAATTTTGTAAAACAGTTCATTTATCAATTCGTAGAATCTCTCCAGGTATAGGTCAAATTTTAAATTAAAAGCATAGTGCGCCTTAAAGCAAACATCGAAAGCTGCGATAATATCATTTCCCGTGGCAATTATATATTTGTCAAAAACGACATAGCACTTACTAATAGTTGCTTTTGAAGTGCCTACGGCTAAAATGAATGGCTGTGTAGTGGGTTTCTGTGTCAAAATACCTTCCAGAGGTTCTTCGCAATTTTGAAATATTATCAAATGAGACACAGCTGCATTAACGGTAAGTCTTTTTTTAATTTGTCCGGGGTTAAGGTGCACAAGTGTTATCAGGGCTAAGGTTGTGTTGTCCCAGTCTATAAATTAAAATTTAGACCTAGTACAAGATCAATGCAAAACTTACTGTTTTCACCCGGAATTAGCGTCACGTCAGGAACAGTCACAGTTTTAACGTACACTTCCTTTATTATTGGAACATGGTTTTTAAACGACTTTATGAGACAGTCTTCCTCAATGTTCGGAAACATTAAACTGAATTCTAACGAAATCTGTACAAAAAATTATTATGAGCTAAGTATTATACTTAATTACTGCTCACCAATCCATTAGTATCCACAAATCTGGGGTATTTTTCACATAAATTTGCTTGTCTGTATTGGTTTCGATCAAAAAATGTTTCTTTAGTTTTTTCTACAATGTCTCTATTCTGATCTGGGGTTGCAAACTTTAGGAAGTTGATTTTATCTTCCAGTTCTGTAGGAGTCAACTGAATTGCCGCACCATCATTGACTGCAGACGATGTCGATGTGGACGCAGTTGATGGCAGTGGAATTGATTTCTTTTTTCGTTCCCGAAAAATTGTTCTCAATCTAGTGGTTATATAGCCCTTTTTAGATACTGGGTCAAAGAACGCTTCCTACAAGAAGTTTAGATAGTTAAATTACACAATATGAGTGTATAACTTACGAATCCTCCTTCTGTCTGCGGATCTCGTAGCTGCGGAAACAATTCAATGATACACTTGGCATATGCCTCTCGTGTGGTTATACTAGGTAGCACATCTTCAGGCATCCCCTGGAGCATGTGAAAAACAACTAAATTCACAATTTTTTTTCTATTAGGGTCATCTAAAGTATTTTTTTTTTATAAAACCCAATAACTTCTTTCCCTCCAGGGTGGTTTAAAAAGAATCGTTTTAGACTCTGCAAATGAAATATTTGTGGAAGTTTTACGATACCTATATAATTCCATAAATACTTTACCTCTGAACTAACAGAGTTGTAACAAATTCTTGCGGTTTTTGTTCTCTTTTTGAGGGGAGCGGTTTCATCTACTTCTTCCTCATCTTCATCAAAACTGGTAACTCTAGACCTTTCAGAAACACTAGACGAAGGTGAATTTAAAGATACTGTTGAAAAACTGTCTACATTTCTAGGGCGCTGGACGGTTAATTCGCTTAAAACTAAAATGTATACTTGTATAAATTCGCCCATGAAACCCCAATAATAGCACTTACTTTCTTCTTCATTATCAGAAGGAATGACTTTAATTATAACCCCTCTAGTTGAGAACGACAAGAAAGTTGGGAAAAAGTCTGGTTTTATTACTGCTCCGTCACAATCATGAATTTCAAAATCCTTGTTAATTAATTCTTGAAATGTCTGTTGAACTGAAATTGAAAATATATTTATTTTGGAAGAAATAGGTAATCCATCAATGGTTTGAGCTGTAAACATACTTTTTGTAAGGTTGATATTTGAAATCTCCACCTAACAATTTTTCAGGAAATACATCGCATGTCCTGATTTTTAATTGTTTCATCTTTTTAACTTTATATAGGGTGTCACACGTAGATGGGGTATTGTAAATATAGTATAGTAAGATTTGTTTAAAATTGAAAAAAAATATTATAAAAGCTTCCTGGTTACACATTATGACGTCAATCTATTTTATTCTAACATTTAAAAAAATGTGTTACGACTTTTACTCATAAAAAACCAATAAACAAATTTTCTCTAAAATGCCCAAGGAAACTAAAAATGATGCCACAAATGATCGTGGTGTGTGTTCATCAAAAACAGAACTAAACAGTACATTGGACTAATATTTTGTGTATTAAAAACAAACCTGAAAGTTTCATGTCTTCGTAATTTGAAGGTAAAGTTGTCCATTCTAACTTTTGTTTATAACTAAGACGGACAAAATATTGCATGGGTGGAGGTTCACCAGCAGCCTCTGAGGCTGCGGCTGCTACATATTGGAGATATTCGTCGGCGAATTCATTCTAAAACAAACCACGTTTTCTAATAGACAACGTAATGTTAATTGAAATAAAAGAAACTTTTATTTTTGTCTACTAAGCCAACAAAATTGAAACTAAACCAAACTGCATTAATTGTAAAACCTGATGGAATCTTTGATTTCATTCGCGTCGCAGTTAATTACGTACTTACATTAATCTTTTAACAAAAATTATACTTTACAAAATTCTTTGATAGACTGGATAACTGCTAAATGTTTAAAATAATATAATGAACGATAAAACATGGAACAGGAGGTCCTCGGCCTATTGCTATTATTGCAACATTCTAATATAAAGATAAAATATAATAGCCAGTACTTACCATGCCGTCACACTAATTATTACTATACACACACAAGGAAAATTTCGCGAAGCACTTGGTTTTCTTTGCTCATTCTCGATTGAAAATGATGGCCCTTTCCCTCCAGATCAGAACTGCGTAGGACGATAATGGTTGGTTTCACAAAAATATTGTCAAATTGACAAAATACTATTGCAGACATAACATTCATAGTGAGTATCTGAGGATGAATCATCGTGAACGGCTCCCATTTCAACAAACAGAGTTGTGCTTTATACACTTCAAATTGCTGTATTTGCAAAAGGCAGTGTCTTGACTAAAATTCCTAAATATACAAATAATTCTCGCTAAAATAACATTCCGAATTACACACAATGAATATGGGATTTCCAAATTAGCAAAATTTGTATTTGATATGGCATTTAATTTTTGTAACTTGGACATATTTTATGTTGGTAAAATAGGCATTTATGGTGGTGTTACAGTCGCAAATTTTTTCATGATGTTTATACAAATTTTAATTGTCATTTAATAAGTTTCCAATTTGCAGACTTATTGTGGTGGATTTTGACTGTTTATAAATGACGATAAATAATTTGTTAAGTGGTTGTCATTTTAACAATATTTTTCTTACTGTGTGTGGTTGATTCACCTGGTTAATGTCCTCGTAAAAAATCCTATTTCTGGAGATGAATTCAAGTTCTTCAACTGGTTATTCTACAAACCTTTTCCTTAAATCCGGGGCCACAGACATAAAAAAAATTTCATCAAAATCCGTTAAGCCATTTAGGATTTCAGTCACAACACACGTACAGAAGAACTTTATATACATATAAACATATATATAAATATAGTAAATATAATACTGCTGTGTGCAATAGTATGTGGCCACTACACCAATCACAAAACACCTGTTAAATTAGGTCAAAACAAACCAACATTGAAACTTAGAATTTTATAATCCCTCCATCGTACACATCCGGCATAAAAAATCCTAATATTGACGTGAAATTTTCCTGAGGCACGTCCAGCATCCGCCATGACTAAAATCTCGATATTGACGTAAGTTTTATTAATTTGAGAAATTGAGCAGCCTTAACTGCCTCCAAAATTTCGAAGAATTCGAGGAAATTTTCTATATATTAACACATGATGTAGGTAGGTACTCGTGTAGGTAATTCTGGGTACGAATTAGAAAAATGTATCATGAGCATTCTTATCTCCTTGGACGTAATTTGGGCTCAATTAAACACATAACTACGCATTTACAGATGAAATAAATTTATTTGACATACGCCAATTAAATAAGCACTAAGGGCCACACTAACAAATACCACGCAACAAGCGATCGAAATTAATAAAAAAAAGTCTTAGTTACCTTAAAGTGTTAATCCAAATTCTCCAATTGTAACGTAACTGCAATTTACAATAAATGACGCACAAACAAACACCAACTGATGATGACGGCCCGTGTGGCGTAGTCCAGTTAAAGCTGAACTGTGGTGCTAAGGGTCCCTGGTTCGAATCCGGGTTCGGACATGGATATTTGTAAATGTATAGTGGGTTGGGTTGGTAGAGCAGCCTTGGATGAAACCCCGCCCACTCAAAAATAAAGGCAAAATAAAAAAATTAAAAAAATGTGTACTTCGGAACTTCACTTCTATTGTAGTCAAGTTTCGAATAAGGCAACACTGGGTTCGTTCTAATTACTGATATAAAATTTGGTTCTTTGATGATTGAAAAACGGGTAGTGGGAATCAACTACTTCTTCGTAAATTTCACTTCTTTATTTCGACTTAAAACACTCACGACGACTATTCATACTCGTAGCACTGAACTAACTTTCTTCTATAACAAGAACCTTACGATGATAAATACTGAATGTTTTTCCAATAATTGCTCAAATAACTGTACATCTGCCCATCACCAAAACAATAATAGCAGCTACGTTTGAACGCCCATCAAAAAAACAAAACAACGTTTAACGTCCATCAAACAAACCCCGCTAAACGTCAGGTACGCTTATTTTAAGCCAGTACTCCTCCTTTTTAACTTTCTGAATTATCTCCTCCTTCTTATCAAAATAATGCGTCCTCCTAGAATACTCTGCACGAGTGTTAAAAACTTACGTCCTTATCTCGGAACTAATTAGGTTTAATAAAACGCAAATATTTCCAGATGTTTCTTATCTTTTAACACGTAACAAAACTGAATAAAAATCAAAACAAAACAAAAGGAGATTATTTAAACAAAATTAACCTAAATAAATAATTCTTATACAAAACCCCCACTTCCAAATCAACTAATATGATCGAGTTCTGTGTCCTATCTCAAATTAGAACCACATTTAACATCAACAAATAATTGAAATTTACATACAGGATGACCCAGGTGCTAATATCAAATAAAACGTCCGCATGGCGCAGTTTACACAACTATTTGTAATAATAGGTGGATCCATTTAGAACAAAGTAACATTTTTCTTCCATTCGAATGTATCTTTAAATTATGAAAAGGCGGACTGTGGTTTTTCTCAATATATGTAAATACTTTGGGGATTACCTGAGACGGCGTCATAGTCTGATAGGCTTGGATGCCTAGGAATATATCCGGATATCTACCTGGGGTTTTACATGACAGTAGCCCACTAACAACCCCATGAACCAACTCGATAACCAGCAATAATTCACTAACCAACAGCTTCAAGTGTGATTTATTTAATAAATATAAAACGTACATGGCAAACATTTATGGAAAAGGGCATTACATTTCTTCAACATGAAGCTTAGGGTATTAATATAATAAACAAGGTCGTTACACCCAAAACGGCAGTTAGAACTCATTAAAACAAACAATTTTTCTTGATTTGGTAACCCGGCTCAAAGTTATTGGCGTTCTTTTGTTTTTTGAAAGATCGCCATAACTTCCTTATTTTGAAGACTATTTAATTATAGACACAAAAATTTTCTAAACTATCTTGCAGTCTAAAAATATTTGGATTGCAATTATTTTTGATTTTTTAAAATAACATATTGGCGATCGATCAAAAATTGCAAAACAAAATTTTTTGATACCCACCCGCTTCGATTATTGAAAGTAAAACATTTATAAAATCGCTACACTATCTACTATACAACATTTGTCGTAAACATTTTTAGCGCATTTTTGGAAAAAAATATGACGATTAATAAGAAAAAAATATTTTAATTTATTCTAACTGCCGTTTTCGGGTGTAACGACTTAGTATTAACACGCTGTATATAAAGGTATGTTTACACCAATAGTAAGAGTGCGTTCACCCTAACACTCGGATAGCTTATTATAGCATTCATTAGGTACCAGAGCGCGTACGGAACTAAACATCAACTCCACCCACCATGTGCACAGTTCTGCATCCATAACCAGTAAACTGTTGCGAATATTGTAAATATTATCAATTATTATCGTTTTTCTTCTTCATTATTAAGGATCACCATAAAATGTGTTTCTTCACCTAGTTCAGTTCTACAACTTCT